GACCAATCTTCCCATAGAGCTCCCAGGGGATCACGCCATGGATTCGTACGAGGTGGGGGTAGAGGCCCAGGATCTTGTCTCAGTTCATTAGGGACCCGAGGTTCTTTATCCATTGATGCCATCTCCAGTTGCTCCTGTAACCTTGTGTTCTCCAACTCCATATATTGCAGTCGATCTATCAGCCCGCCAAGCTGCCGTTGTACTTCTGCTTGTATTGCTTCTGCTGGTAGCTCGCTGCTGCTTGGGGTTGAGGTATTATGAACATCACGAACCCTATTAGATCCCTTAGCACTCCCTGCATTCACAGAGCCAGCATCGACAACCTCTTGAGCGGATGCCTCTGGACCTTGTTCTACAGAGCGCTGAGACGATCTCATCGGCATAGGGGGTGTCGGCATTGGACTGGGCAACCACGTAACTGTAGGAGCCTTAAAAAACTCCCCTAGCCTTGTAACCCATCCAGGTAAACTGCTTTGCACTCGCGGTCGCTGGGCCTCCACAAATACTGAAGACCTCGCCGATCTCGCGCGCGGCGTCTGAAAAACATCGTTCTGCCCAGCACTCACCGCCGAGCCTGGAACCAGATCCCCAGCCCGCATACCACCTTGATCAGCTGATCCATCTCCACTTGAGTTTCCTTGGTAAACTATGTCGGTGCGAGATCTCGATCCCTGAAACAAAGGCGGTTCCTCAGCTGAAACATCTTGGCTTCCAGTTGCACTTACGCTCTGATGCTCGATGAAGGTTGTGGCGGACAGCGACGGCCCCGCTCCCACTTGAGCGTCGCCACTATCATTTTCGCCTCCTCCACCAGCTGTCAAAGTTTGCGACCGTTCAGGCTTGAGGGTATGCCCCAAGCCTGAGCTAGTCGCCGCGGTTTCCACCTCCTGGCTCTCTCCACAAGCTCCCGAGGCTCCACCACCATTCATCTGCGGAGTTGCTTCTTGACAGGCTGAGCTTGGGCTCATAACCTGATGAGGTCGAGAAACCTCTTACAGGCCAGCTAAAGGCGAACCATGGGCTTCGGACCTCGGACGAATTGGTTTTCCACGCACAACAAACGTCTGAACTTCACAGTACATGCACTTGCAGGCATGTAAAAAGGCCGCTCTGCGCTGCTACTACTTTCAGCGAACATGTCATATGACATTCGGACTGATTAGGGTTCACACACGCGGGTTTGCGGCTTCCGTGACTCAAGGTTTTTTCTCGTAGCCTTACCTTTGAGCCATAAAGCGAAAACATACTGCAGCATCCGACTCCGGCTCACACTCCAGCCAGCTTTCAGCAAGCAAGACCTGCACTCCCATTTCATCACTTATAGCAACCCTTGTAGGAGCCCCTTAAAGTACAGATTGATATAGCAACAGAAGGCAAAGAGAACTTTCCGAGGGACCTGCAGAGCCTCCCGGCTGCTGAGAGACTGCTCCGCGCGGCTTTCTTCTGGGCCGGCGGCAGACCCAGCTCAGCTCGTCCTCTAAGGTAGGGGTTTAGGGGTTGTTGTTTGGGGTTTGGAGTTTGGGGGTTTTGGGGTTTAGGGTTTGGGTTTTGGGTTTAGGGCCTAATGAGGGTTTAGGGGTTGTCTGAATATCTAGGAAGAATATTCTCTTATGGTAGCCCCTAGTATCCTTACAGTACTATACACAAAACCCAAAGTCCTACTGTAATTCTGTAATCATTAAGGCCCCGCTCGTCCTGAAGCCGGAGAGCGAGCACGGCACAGTAGGCCCGTGCCACGGCCACGAAAAGACCCACACAGTAAAGCAGAACTCCCGCCAGAGGCGAAGCATTGCAGGGCAGCTGAGCTACAGCCAATGCAGCCATCAAGGTGCTGTAAATCTCGGTGCAGATGGTGCATACAGCATAGGTGGTAAAGCGCGGAACGTTGAGCCAAGGGCCCCAGTAGGCAACGCTCATTGGAACAGCCGCCGTGGAAGATTTCGGCCGTCGGGAAGTGCAAGCCACCCAGACCTTGAGCAAGCTCGGCAAGGGGTCCAAGCATTTTCTGTGTTTCGGCACTTCTTGCGGCAACTGCCGACTGATAATATAGGGGCCTTAATAATTAGAAGAGGGTGTTGGAGCCCCTTGTACTATAACTATTATAGGGAACCCCCAAAATACTATAGGTGATTTTTAAGGCGCCTATATTAGTTGCAGTTACCCCTGTTGAACCCGGATCTCGTGCATGGACCCAAAGTCCTGAACTGAACCCACAGAAAGTACGCGGACACTGCTGAATGCAGTCGGGGGGGCGAAAGGCAAGATGCAAAGAAGCAACTCTGGCAGGCATTCGTACGCTAATCGTAGCCCTGATCATGACGGATTGCAGGCTTTGGAACACAAGCTTTTTCGGGTTTGGGGTTTAGGTTGGCCGGCACCTAAACCCCTTTGAATGTGAAGCCCACAGGCTCCAAACAGTCCAACTCCAGAGATTCAAGAACCGGTGGTTCAAACAGACAGGACGGCAGCTCCGATTTCGACAACCGGTTGGGAAAGCGTCACAGCTGCTGTTGCTCATCGCACTATTAGCGCTACGGCCGCGACGGCTGCGAGTGACAACTGGGATGCAGTATGGGATTCAGCGCCTTTTCTTCTCAGGTCGCAAGCCAGGGCAAGCAACATAGGTCCACACGACGACGAATACAACACCAGGTACGCAAAGTAAATTTGACGTCCGACAGCGACATTTGCAGCTGCGACAAAAGCTCGGCTTCAATGCTTGGATCCAGGTTTCCGGGTATAAGACTCATCTGAGCGAATTTCGTGCATACACACTCGTTTGACCAACCTTTGATTTGTACCCTAGATCCAGGCTCGAAGCCCTCAGCAAACCCCAAGCACCCAAATCCAAACCGTGGGCCCTGAACTGACTCTTCTCCTGGCCTTTCTCGCCAATGCGACTGTGATCATTGTGTCAGTCTGAACGTTTGGTCAAGTGTGAACATTATCATGGAACTTCTACATGTCTATTCGCATGTATAGCTGCTGCTGCTGCTGCTGCTGCTGCTGCTGCTGCTACCGCTGCCGCTACCACTACCGCTACCGCTATTGCTGCTGCTAATGCTGCTTCTACCGCTTCTTATACTTCTCATTTTGTTCCTTTCCCTTAGTCTCCCTGCCAACCTACCACAAGCACCACGCGCGCCACGATGTAGGACACACGCAGCACCTGAGGAGAATCTCTTGCAGCGGCACAGTAGGCGCCCTCAACAAGACCCTTTGAGGAGTCGTGCCATCTGTTGGTGCAGTGGTTTAGCTTAGCATAGTGCAATCTAGTATCGTGACGTATAGAAGTATGGCGCAGAACATTGCTCAGTATAGTACAAAACACCGTGCCACAGGATCGAGATGACAGGCCCAAAAGCCTGCAGCAACATGCAAGTGCAATTCCGACGTTTGAACAATGTCGCCTCCATATGCCTAGAATGTCTAGAAGCTTTATAAAGAACAAACGAACTCACCCTTGCGCTAGATAGAGATAAGTTAAGTCTTCAGTTTCAACAACGTTTCTGCACTGTTCAGGTCAAGTCTGGGCATGATGTTTGTGGAACATAGGCCAGGCTGAGATAAGCCCATTAGGGTTTTTTAGGGTTTAAAGGTTTAGGGTTTAGGGCCCCGAACTTGTAACTGCCCAGAGACCATGGCGATGCAGGCGATAAGCATGAAGGCCTGGCACTTTGCAGAAAGCTCGTGCCGTCTTGCTACTGTATGCCCGAGATGGATGTACACTGGTTTGGTCGAGTTTCGCTCAACCTCGAGATCGATCTTTAAGCTGTACAGTGCAAACGAACCACCAAACAGGCTCACACTACTCCCAAACCGCTTTCATCACCATAACCTCACCACCGCCGCCCACTCACACTGGGATACCTACTGCGACTAATAGTATAGGGTCTGGCTTGTGCACCTATGGCTAGATCGCAGTGACTGACGCTACGAAGCTGAAACCTGGCCCCTGAGCTGTCACGCAGCAGCCTTGTGCAGCGCATATGCCGACGCATAGTGACGTGGACGCCGTCCAGCTTGCCTTCAGTGTCGCGCGGATCCAGACTGCTCTTCAGTTGCTGCACCGTAACATGGATCATGGAACCCTAGGGTAGCCGAAAGCATCCCAAGACACATGATAAAGGAAGAACTTCAAACACCAGCACCGCCTTCAGCATTTCTGAAACCCCCGACATGCGAAAGAGCCACTGCCTGGCAGTGGATGCTTCAGCTGTTGGCTCGGCCGGTGGGGAAGGTGATGCAGAGGCTGGTGCAGGCGGACTCCACCTCAATGAGTTGAGGGCTTTCTCTGCCTCCCGCTGAACTTAGGTGTCTCATGGGCCGTCATTAAGTTAAGCCGGTATAAATAGCTTTGTCTAGGGGAGTCTTTACGGCTAGGGCTCAGTGCTAGGATTAGCCTCTCAAGACTGCAACCTCGAACCGTTGAACAACCCGAACATCTCTGAACAGCTTCTTCCTCCATCGTAAATAGTATAGGCACGGCATTGCAGGAGGGCCATCGGAAGGGGATGCCAGCACTTCGCTGCCTCGCAGTTGGAGCATGGAATGAGGCCAGTGACTTATGTCGGAGGTTTCGGTTCAAGTGGTCCTTATGTAGGATTCTGCGAATTTAGTGTCTGAACGAGTTTCAAATGTATATGTGTACAGACGTGGTTGCACCTACACCTATACACATACACAAACCCAGAGAACCTCCTTCCTCTTCATATGCAATCGTCTTGGCCAGCCTACGTTCAAGTACCGAGTAGCAGGTTGCATATACACACATGCATGCATACATACATGCATACAGCCAGGCAGACACACACACACACATTTACACACATACATGCATAAATACATACATATGCATTACACTACATAACACTACACTACATTTCATTACTGTACTTGCAGTACTCTAGATTACTTGACATTACATTACATGAACAATACATGACATGACATTACTATACAATACAATACACTACATTACATTACACTACGTTACATTACATTGCATTACATTACATTACATTACATTACATTACATTACATTACATTACATTACATTACATTACATTACATTACATTACAACACATAACAAAACACATTACACATACATACATACATACATACATACATACATACATACATACATACATACATGCACACATACAGACAGACATACAAGCATACATACATACATACATACATACATGCATGCATGCATGCATGCATACATACATACACGCATATACAAACATACATAAGCAACAACACACACAAAGAAACAACCAAACACAATCAAACACACATACATACTTACACACGTACATACATACATACATAGATACATACATACATACATACATACATACATACATACATACATACATACATGCATGCATGCATGCATGCATGCATACCTACATACGCACATACATACATACGTACATACACGCGTACATACACGCATACAAACATAGATGCATGCATATATTTATACATGCCGTTTGCCGACCCTCGAAATACTTACACAGCGCTTTAAAATGCCAGGTAACAAGGGATGGCGTAGGATTTTGCACAAAAACGTCTAGCTCTGGTTGCTAATCCCAAAGATCAGGCTCCATGTGCTGGTGTAATGTAGGAAAGCAATGCCAAGAGCAGCTGAGTGATACTCTACGAGGGGTGATCATACCCAAAACTACTAGTTACAGCAAAAATGTTAGAGCGAAGAGCGAAGGTTTGCATCCATCGGCTGCTATGCAACACAGGCTTGGTGCGGCCTTGCGGGGCGTCGAGATCGTCATCCAACACCGTTGGGCTCTCTGCCACCTGCGTTTCGGGCCCCGCCGACCGTTTCCGGTGGACTTGCTGAATATGTTACCCGTGACCCCTCGACCTTGGCTGGGTAGATTGGGGCTTGGGTTGGCTTGGGGTCTGGGTGGCTGTGACTGATTTGGAAGGGAACTGGGGGGTCTGAGAGGTTTGGGGACTGGCTTTGGCTTACTTAGACGGGACTTGGGAGGTCGGATAGGTTTGGGGGCTGGCTTGGGGTCTGGGTGGCTGAAGTAGAAGGGTTTAGGAAGGCTCAATAGGTTTCGGTGCTATTTAATGAAGGGTTTAGGAGGGTTCGGTAGGGGTTTCGGGTGCCATTTTGCGGTTTGCTTAGGTTTTCAATAGGAGGGTTTCGTGGCGGCTTGGGTTGATTTGGGGCCGGGGGCTGAAGTAGAGGGGTTTAGGAAGGTTCCGGGGGTTTCGGTCAAGGTTTGGGTGGGATTTTAGGCTTTAGGGTTCAGGGGGGTCTCGGATTTAGGGTTAAGGGGGTTCGGGTTAAGGGGGGTTTAGGGTTTGGGTTAAGGGGGGTTCCGGGTTTAGGGAGAGCTTGTGGCTTCAGGGCCAGGGTTTCAGGGTTTGGAGGGGGGCCTCAGGTCGGGCTTCAAACGCTGATGCGTGGGTGCCTTAAAACTGACCACTTGCAGAACAGAAACAAGCAACACATAATCTGTGTATATATACATTCATTCTGTACATGTAGGTTTTTCTTCTTGTCGAACTATTGTTTCTTGTACTCCATACAGGGACTGCAGCATTTGTCCCCGGGTCTTAGACCAAAATTTCTTATCCCGAAACCGTTTTAAAGCTTACGAGCAATCTTTAGCCCTAAACCCACCCGCACTTAAACCCTGCCAGTGTTTACGAACTCCGCTCAGCCAAACAATAATTTAAAACGAACAGCGAAGCCCTAACTCCTAAAATCTAAAAGCGACAATGCCCAACAACGCACATCCTACAGTTTAAAGCCGCAAAACGTGCATAAATCCTATAGCAAACAACATCCCCACACGCCACGCCACAAAGAAAATACAAAACACAAAACATACCCTGAAAGCCCCCAGTAGTACCCCTTCGTGGTAACATATAGTATCCCTGACAGTAAGCCGTTAAGGCAACCTGTGCAGTAACCCCAAACCCTAAGGCTCCATGAACCCATATAGTAGATACTTAAGCCTTAAAGTACCAATATAGGGACCCTTTAAGGCCTAAGTATCTACTATAAAGGTACATGGAGCCTTTGGGAAAGCTGCCTCCATCTCTGCGGCTGCCAGTCTCAAAGCCTCCGAGTCGGCGAAGTTTTGCGCCGGAGGCCGCGCTGTCGGCGTGGGCGGTGCCTTGGCTTCTGCCCTTGGGGTGTGGGAAGTTGGGCTAATGGGGTAGGGTTGTGTAGGACACCAACAACAACTGCTACGACGACGACTACAACTACGAGTACTTACATTATAGATTGTACTACTAGTTACTTCTACCACGACGACGAACACTACGACTACTGCGACTACGGCGACTACGACGACTACGACGCCTACTACAACTACGACAACTGCTGCTACTGCCACTGCTGCTGCTACTCGTACTGCCGCTGCCGTTGGTACTGCTGCTGCCACTACTACAACAAAAACTGGTACTACTACTACTACTACTACGACGATGACGACGACTCCTACTACGACCTCGACTACTACTACTACTACTACTACTACTACTACAACTACAACTACTACTACTACTACTACTACTACTACTACTACTACCTACTACCTACTACCTACGACCTACTACCTACTACTA